TACATAAACATTTATGTTCATAAACTGTGAAGCAATGTTCTCGCTGTAATTATCTGTTTACATGTAATATTGAGTGGTCTTTATCAGGGTAAACATACATCATGTTTAATTTATTAAAATATATTATTAACTTAATTAGAATACTTTAACTTAATTAGAATAATTTAGCTAATTAAAATTAGAACTTTTTTGAATTAATTGTATTGCTTTTTAACAAATTTTAAAACACGCCAATAATCTGTTAATAATTTCTGCAATAAAGATACCGCACGACAATGTAAAATCATAACGGGGTATCGCACACCTGCCTCATTTACACCTGACTACCGCTATTGACTCATAAGCACCTGTGTTTGAAAGAGGGATGGTATGCCACTTCGCACCAGCGGGAGCTATTCGCACGCTTGCGCTCACAAATTTAACATAGCGAGCGCGTTCCAGTATCTGTGGTCTAGTTCAATGGTGGTAAGTCATATCATAACCTCACGAACCGCGAGGCATCTTTACATAATTATTAATAAATAAATGTTTTTGTTGATATCGATGGTTTGTAGTATTCTTGCTATACCTATCCACACAATGGTTACAATTCGTTAAGAGCTTACTGCAAACAATCTACCTGATATAGCTACAACAAAAATTTCATTAGAATATCATTTCAATTTATAGCTTCAAAATACTCAAAATAAAATGACATTTATACTAAAAAAAGTTATAATATGAAATAGACATATTACCTGAATAGAAATAACTTACATATAAATTAAATTAAAGTATGTTATTAGTTTGACTGATCAAAGTGCCCATATCTTGCTACAGTCTACATACTTTTATTACCGACATGCATGATCCTTTAATACTTTACCTAATACACGCTACTGAAATGAAACTTATTCAAACTCATAAACATACCGGGACAGGGGTTAAGGAATTGGTTTAATGAATGGTTTCATGGTATTACTTGTACACTATGAATTTAAATTTAACACTATACACGCTGGAGTTCCCTAGCGCGCTCACGGCTCAAGCGATCTTCACTACGAGACATCCGTTGGATGATTTCGTTACATAGCAACTCCCATGAAACGAACTTACCCTACTTCAAAAAAACTGGGATCTGTTTTTTAGTTCTGATAAGAAGTAAATATGCAAATATCATCATGGTAACCCCTCTTCCTGACCTTGGCCATTAAGAACTAGCTTAAGGTATAAATACTTTGGTTCCCTTATTTGGGACAGTCTTAATGCTTCTTTTTCCTAATGTAAGTTCGTTACTTAACAATAAAGTTATTAATTAGAATAGTGTTTGTTACTGTTTCTTCGAAGTTCCACTAATCAATATAATGATATTATAATAATAATATTATCAGTGAAGAACATTGAGTTTCCCTTCTGACTAAGTAAATACAAGAGTGATTATTCTGCTAAGTGAGGGAACGACCTCGTAGAATTACTCACCCTTTACGAGTATTTGTCAAATTGAAACATAGTTATCCAACAAGGAAATGAGTGTTTTGTTTCCTTACCGATTTCAACTATATTACAGTACGTGGTGGCAGTCAACGTGTTAAAAAACAGGTTGTTAATAGCAAATAATAACCCATCGCCCATTAACGTTTACTTATGGACAAGCCTTAGCGGTCAGAATTGTGATACAACAAAAGAAAGAGATGGAACGAAGTTTCGAACAATATCCATCCCTCTCACGATAGTGCGTAAGCGTGTCATGAAAGAGATAGCACTAGTCGAAAACCATACGCCATCATAGATAATAGATATACAAAGGGTAATAGATGGTCAACTCGAAATGCGCTGATTTGCGCGCCCTCCGGCAGGTCTAGTCAATACTAAATAAAAAAGGCGCGTACTTTAAATTTGTTAGTTACTTATTGTTTTTCGTAATGTGTATGTTAAAGTGAAAAATGGATAAGAAACAATGCAATTTCTTTTTTTATAAAACACATTGTTTCTTTTGTAAAAAATGAAATACATTGTTACTTATCCATTTTTCACCTTAACATAAGAACTTGTGAATTTTTAAGTGTAAAAGCAATAATAAGTGAAATAGTAAGAAATATTTCTTAAATGTAACAAATATACAAAATAAAATATTTTATGTAATTTGAACAAACAATCGGCCAAATAGAAAAGGTCACAAAACAGAAGAAACAGTAATATAGTTTAACTTAATAGTAACACTTTAAACTTTTAACAATTTTCAGTAGTAAGNGAACTTATGGCTGGGCAACTTAAACATAAGCTCGTAGGGGGGCGGCGATGATCAATGACTGTGAAATCTGTAAAAAATATAAACATTATACTTATAAAGGTACATACATACTACTTTCTACAAAAACTATGCATAAAAAGTGAACGTTAGTCAAGCTTTTCAGCAACACTTACCGGAATGAGTGGCAAAGCTAGCCAAACAGTAGTTCGTACGGGGGCGGCGATCATCAGTGGCTGTAAAATCTGTAAAAATAATGAAAATTATACTTAGAAAGGTACCGCACGGAATACGTTTAAGAAAATGTATGCATAAAATTGAACGCTAGTCAAACTTTTTGGAATTATTTACCTGAAATTGTGGCAGGACAACTTAAAGAGAGGCTCGTAGGGGGGCGGCGATCACCAGTGGCTGTAAAATCTGTAAAAATAATGAAAATTGTACTTTGAAAGGTACCGCACGAAATACGTTCAAGAAAAGGTATGCATGAAATTGAACGTTAGTCAAACTTTTTGGAAATATTTACCTGAAATTGTGGCAGAACAACTTAAAGAAAGGCTCGTAGAGGGGCGGCGTTCACCAGTGGCTGTAAAATCTGTAAAAATAATGAAAATTATACTTTGGAAGGTACCGCAGGAAATATGTTCAAGAAGAAGGTATGCATAAAATTGAACGTTAGTCAAACTTTTTGGAATTATTTACCTGAAATTGTGGCAGGACAACTTAAAGAGAGGCTCGTAGGGGGGCGGCGTTCACCAGTGGCTGTAAATTCTGTAAAAATAATGAAAATTATACTTAGAAAGGTACCGCACGGAATACGTTCAAGAAAAGGTTTGCATAAAATTGAACGTTAGTCAAACTTTTTGGAAATATATACCTAAAATTGTGGCAGGACAACTTAAGGAGAGGCTCGTAGGGGGCGGAGATCATCACTGGCTGTAAAATTTGTAAAAATAATGAAAATTATACTTTGAAAGGTACCGCACGGAATACGTTCAAGAAGAGGTATGCATAAAATTGAACGTTCCCATACAGCACGCAATATCCTATGGATGTACGATAAGGTCCCTATTGCGTCCATCATGTCCAATTTCCTTAAGGGATTAGTTGAGGACATACTATGTATATCCTCATTGGACACATGTACTGGTGTCTTTATAGGACATACATCGGATATCCAGTGGATATCAGCAGATATTATCAGATATTATTATAAAATACATATTAAAATGTGGGCACATATGTACCTATGTATTGTATGTATGTTTTATAATGTGGCGTTAGTATCACTGACGTCATTACATTACAATTGTTTTATAAAACGGCGCCAAAGAATTTGCTTTTGCCCTTGCAAATCGTAACAGCGGTAACGTTATAACATGGGTTGTAATAGTCCAAAGTCCATTACTGTCGATTAATAATAATTTAGATTAGTGAAAAGCGTTGTCTGGTAACCGCCTGATTGTGGGATTTCCTAAAGTGTTTGTATTAATCATATTAAACGTAAACGTCTTGTGTATATCTTGTTCGTAAGTGAAATGAATTTTTATTCAGTAAATCGATATAAAATCAGGTAAGTGATAATAATAATAATAACGTACTTAACAATATTTTTTCGTGATGGTTAAATTAAAATTGCCGAGACAGCGATACAGGGTCGCTAAAAAAACATCTGAAATTTCTTTATTAATAGCATCTATATAATACCAAAAAAAAAAATATACCTTTAGTCAGAAATACGCAGATAATAATAACTGCACTACGAATAAATTAAATGTACAATTCCAGTTGTCTGTTACATCTCGTTTTCCAGAAAATAATATCTCTAAAAATGAATCTGTAATAGATATACTTCTTAATCACGAAAATTTATTATTATTATCGGTAAATTTGCTTAATTATTTTTGTGTAGAAATACTTGCAGTTAATATTTTTTAGGCACAAGAAGTTGTAAGAATTGGCGGACATACTCCCTACGAATTTGTAAAGAGGGTGTTTACAAAAATTTTGTCGGACGATATTTCCGTAAGATATAACTGGCCAAAGGTGCCAAAAAGAAGGAAGTATTTTGTCATCTCCATCTATCTAGACTGATAATAAGTAAGTTACTAATTAATAAAATAGGATTATAAGTTTTCATTAAGTAAATTTAGATAGGTATGATAAATCATAAGTTACATACTAATATTTTTTTAAAAACTATTAATATGTTTTTTTTCTATTCCACAGATGCTGCTAGATTAAATCAAGCAACATCCAGTTGTTCAAGCAAGAATCTAGAAGAAGGGATAAAAAATTGCGAAGAGCAAAAGAACAGTTAATCACCAAAAGTAAACGAAATTCCTTATTGTAATATTATTACCTTGTATTTATCCATAACATGTTCAAATAAGTATTTTTTTATTTGTATGCAATAAACTTAGATAGAGATTCATATGCGTTTGTATAAAGATAGCCTATTCCATCAAAAAGTATGATAGCAAACAATACGATATATATGTGTCATTCCTAAGATGTCCTGTAAATATCCCGTCCGTATGTTTTTCAAATGTCCGTTGAGTATATTTTATGAATGTATGAAACTGTGACATTCGTCTATCCATACGACATCCTGAAGACGTCCGCCGAACATGAAACGGATCTGTATAAGATATCCTTAAAATCCCAAATGGATGTTCTTTTAACATCCTATGGATAAACATGTGCTGTATGGGTTGGTCAAACTTTTTGAAAATATTTACCTGAAATTGTGGCAGGACAACTTAAAGAGAGGCTCGTAGGGGGGCGGCGGTCACCAGTGGCTGTAAAATCTGTAAAAATAATGAAAATTATACTTTGAAAGGTACCGCACGGAATACGTTCAAGAAAAGGTATGCATAAAATTGAACGTTAGTCAAACTTTTTGGAAATATTTACCTGAAATTGTGGCAGGACAACTTAAGGAGAGGCTCGTAGGGGTGCGGAGATCATCAGTGACTGTAAAATCTGTAAAAATAATGAAAATTATACTTAGAAAGGTATCGTACCGAATACTGTCTAGAAAACGTATGATGCATAAAAATTAAACGTTAGTCAAGCTTTTCAGTAAGACTTATCGGAATCTGTGGCAAGATAACTTAAAGAGAGGCTCGTAGGGGGGTGGCGATGATCGGTGACTGTGAAAGCTGTAAAAATAATGAAAATTGTAGTTACAATGGTACAGAATACTTGTAGAAAAAATATGCATAAATATTGAACATTAGTCAAGCTTTTTAGCAACACGTACCGGCAAGAAGAAGGAGGGGCTCGTAGGGGGATAGTGATCATCGGTTACTGTGAATGCTGTGAAAATAATTAAAATTATCTTGTTGTGTTTATAATTATTACAGAGGCAATCATAAGTAAACTACAAGCGAACGGAATGCAATTTTCTTAATTCAGTATAAATGACTTAATAGTACATTTTTATACACTATAATAATACAGTATATTGTGAGTGTTTTGGGGATACGAATAAATTGTTTCTCTACAAAACTAAACATATAATTAAATGTAGAAAACAATTACACCCTCCGGATCAACAAGTTTATTCCTAATGATACGATTTTCACTCTACTAAATACAATCTCATTTATTCAATACTACTGTGATGGTATGACACCATTTGAAACATTAGTATTTTCCAAAGAGAGGACGAAATGTTTGTATATTACAAGAAATACAATAATCCTGAGTAAAGACCAAGGAAAAAATTGTTGTTATTACGTTGATAAACGAAACAGTTCCAAATGTTCGAAACATGTATTTGTATGTCAAATCTTTCGTTCTATTAAGTATTAACACGTTTGTAACGTTTTAAAATTGTTTTAAAACATTTATTTGTATGATGGCGTGCTGACGTACAATTCTTCAGTAAACGCACTTAATCAAAGTTACGGAAAGAATCTATTCTGTAACTTGTAATAGAATAGTTTTCAAAAATTGCCAGATGATGTGTGATACGAATATGTAAACAATGCCGCAGCTATTAGTTAAGACTTCTAAACTGAACAACATGAAATATATTTACTTATTTAAACCAGTAAAAACAATTTACATAGATGTTAATCCCACAGAGGTAATCGCAGTTAGCTGTTTTGAAATTGTTTTTCAATTGATTCAACTTCAACATCCATATAGCAATGAAATTCAATATACATAAAGCAATCGTCCGCCATGTTTCGCAATAAGGCCATGTAAGGTGTGTTTGTAAGTTATATTGAAATCTTTACATACGTATAACACACACACTTTCATCCAATTAAAAAACGAAGATGTGAGATAAGTGTAATCATAAATAATTATAAGAGAACACATTCGGAAACGTTACTTTAATATTTTCTGCGATTACCTGCAAATAATACCAATACTTTGAAGTAGAAATAACGCACTGACTGTTTTAAAGAAACAAATGTGTAACACAAGTGTGCAAAAAGTAGGTACGTTTTGTAGACTGATGGAGAAACATATACATTAGAGTGATCGGTAAAAATTGCATTTGTTCCGACTGTTAAAAAGCTTCATTTTGATGGAACGCGAAGGAAAAAAAAAATGCGTTAAAAATAACAAGACAAGACAAGGAAGACGATTGAAGTTAATTTTTTGTAAAATCATGTTTTTGCGGAAATTTCTCATTAAATATGCCATAGTTATAATTCTTTGCCAATTGGATTTTATAAACAATAATGTATTATTATTATCCTCATTTTAATCAGTAAATTTTAACTAATTTCCCAACTAAAATCCCTATCCATATGTTAGCGTACTTCATTAGGTGTATATTACACAAACAAGTGTACAGTCACGGAAAGAAAATTATTGAATATTTATATTTATATTTTCCTCATTTGCATATTTGGGAATGTTGTTTTCTAAATTGTAATTATTTGTGCAACAAAATTAGAACTGTAATTCATTTACAGGATGTATGTCAACAGTACACGAAAAGTTTGTTTCGGTACGGTGTTTTGTACTTTGTCAAATTACCGGATTAGTAGTTTGCATTAGGAACATTATTCACTCTTTTTTGTCAAGTGAATTTAATAAAACTTAATTTTGCAAGCACATGTCATTTAGTTCCAGTGTATAATTGAGTAAGAGAAAAATAAATCACTGCCTAGCAATCAGTTATGTAGGTATAATTTTCTTTCATTCAAATCCAAGTCGAAATTCGCACTACAACAGAAGCAAGGTCACGAGCAAGCGAAACGAAATGTACACATAGGTACTTCATAAACAAATAAACTGTTTCCGATAACGATGACTATTTTGTAGAATGTAGATTATACTATTAATACCCACCACAGTCAAATATTCGTTAGGTCATTAGTCATTATTGAAATAATTTTCCTTATTCAATTTAGCATTACACATACGACACATATTGTTATTATGATACACAAACACATCATACGTGTATGTTGGACATTTCATACAAAAAACAAAACAATTTCAATTTCTCTTCAATGAACAACGTTTCTGGTATCAACAAATATAGCATAAGTCTAAACTGCATTTTACACTATTTGGACAAGGAAATTACAATTTTTTCAATTACCGTTGAACCGTACAATTTATGTACTACTTCTTTTCTTCTCATGTAATTAGATGTTAAAACAGTATTCGTTTCTTCCTTTTCATAATATTCGACTATTACGGAAAATATTGAATGCAAGTTTTAGTGGCGTTTCGGTAACTTTCTTTTCGCCAACTATTGCGCTGTACTTATTTAAAAGAAACACGTATATCAATAACAATTGCTATATTGGACTATTTACCTAACAAGTATGAGTCTACTTGCAGCATAAGACGTTAATAATGTTCGATCAACCTTCCTTCTCATTTTGCCCATTTTATCTTTATTATGCAAAAAATCTATAAGACTACGAACACATTTTTCTGAGTATCGTCTATTGAGTTTTTTGTTTACTTTTTTTTTAGAAATGACCGTAACACAAGAAACGTTAGTACCCGCTTATTTACTTTAGCATAGATTAATTTTGTTTATAAACACACTTTTAATAAGATAACAGAATAATAGGCACCTATATGTTGTGATTTATTTGTATTCTGATAATTATCAGGTACCTTTATCTGTTACCGTTTGTAGGTACGTATGCATACATAGCTACATGTGGATGTATATGTACTACTTTTAAAGAGATACCTAGGTACCTCATCAAAAATTTGAAAGGTGCCAATCAAATAAACTTGGCATTTCAACGGTGCCGAAGCAGACATATTTGCTCCTCACGTAAACAGTATTGAGTACTTCCACCCTCCTTTCTTTTTGTAAATGACAATTGACAATACGTTTGTCTATTATTTCACATATTCTACTACTATTTATGCATGCACCACTTGTTGATAAAATTTCATTTTTTGTACTTCTTTACTTATCTTGTTCAAAATTTTCTCTGCTGCTTTCTTCTTATGAATGACAAATAATAACATTCAATTTAATATTCTCATATTTTTCAAATACTCTCATTGTTAAGTACAGACAATTCCTATTTTTCTCTTTACGCGCTTCGCGGTGGCGGACGCGACTTTTGAACGTTTACATGTGGCATTTCCCGATTTCTCCTCCAATGAAAGGCATTACAATTTATTATTATTATCGTTACCAATTTTTGTTAAAACTTTTTTTGAACGTAGACAATGATAATATTTTTTATGACCGTATGCTGTTTTTCTTATGCAACCCATTTTACAAAATCTTTAAACGCTGCGACACCGCCATCTGCCAGGTCTAACCACTACTATTTTGACAGGAGGAGTTAATACCGCATGGTACGCCATCTTTCTCACTTTTCCAGTTGAGAAATTAATACGACAAACGGCTAAGGCACGTCCATTAATATATGTCTGTGCCATCGCCAATGTATTCTCAATGAATATTATATATCTTATATCTATGGCTACGTCTGTGACAAATGTCAGTGAAGTTCAAATTAAGCACCATTTGTGTCTTGTAGGGTTGAACGTAGTGCCGCCTAAAACCTAAGTTGATATATGTTGCTTTCTAAAACTAGCAAGTATGAATGACTAACCAGTTTGGTTATAAACACAGCTGTAAAAGGACGGATTCAACAGCCTCATTTATTGGTGGTTAAAGTAAACGTTAAAAATGAATAATTCCATATAAAGGTATTTACCTCTGGAAGAATTATCAAGAGCAGTTTTAAAAATCAGTAGTGATGGGAAATCATAATAATTGATTTCGCTTTGTATAAAACGTGGCCAGCGTGTGCAACTAATAATTGCCTGAACTGTTAGTGGTATAATCTAAACATTCCATGAATTTATTATCTCAACTGGTAGGTAGTAATATATATTTTTATAAGTTTGATATAACTAAAGAAATACAATATATTTAGGAAAGTATCTTTTCAGATTATTTTTAAAATACAAATGGCATGAAATGTGTCAACTGGTAAAATACCTATTATGTTATTTGAAGTTCTTCAGTGTGAAAACATGGTTCTGCATATTGCAAAGATGTCTTACATAAGCGACTTTGATATCCTTTTGTAGTGAAAATTGTCATTCGATTTTTTTTGAGATGATGTCTAGTAGTTTGGCACTTGTAAACTAACTGCAATTGCCGAATATATCCTACTGATTCCCAGTTACATAAATTCTGGTGCAGTTACTCATGTTGTCTCATGTCTTAACGAAGCTAATAAGGTAATCTGATGTGCTTGTTTTTGGTATTTTCGACTTTCTGATTGCTACATCCATTTCACTAACTCGATGTATAAATGAGTATGTGAAGGGAAACTGTATTCATTCAAGTAAGCAGTTGAAATGTGATGCCGATTAACTACTCTTTATGCACCTACTCATGACAAAGGTGGCTAGATATATTGTATTTGTTGTCAAAAATTTAAAGCATTTAAGAAATGAAGGAAGAGGTGGATTGCAGGTGTCCAGAGTCCAAGCATATTCTGAAATTATGCATGTTTTAAATGTAATACGACTCAGCCGTTTTGTAAATAACTTCTGAAATCTATTTCCTTATAATTTTTTTAAGTGACATGATCAAATTATCAATCCAAATACATCTTAGTTTGCCAGTTGTGTAATGTTTTGGCACATTTTATTCCAAAATTTTGGATTTTCAAGGTGGAAGTAGAAAGAGGAGACCTGTAAATATTAATTAAAAATTAATAGGAAGACACTTTTTTTGTGGTAATTAGGGGTATTTTCCTTTTAATTTTTAATTTCAATGTGGAAGTATAAACACACATTTAATTAGCATATTATTCATCTCAAGGGGAATCACTCACAGGTATGTGGTAAAAAGAATTTGATTGTACCTCTGCCATTTGGAATATATTGCAATTGCATTTGAATATTAGTTCGAAAATGTCTCAATTTTGTTTTCATCGCAAGGATAATTGTATAAATATTAGGCAACTTTTGATTTTAATTTGTTTGTACAGAGCGAATGTGCCGGTAGTCAGCCATCTAAAAGCTATCTCTATTTTCTATTTTGCATTTTAAAAATGTTAGTTGGAATAAAAACCTCTTAATAATTATGAAATACTTTAATAATCATGAATAATCATGAATAATTATTAGATTCCAGAAGTATTGTTTTGATTCCTTATTTTAATAATTCTTTATTATGAGTGATTTTAAAAAGTTTCCTTAGCTACCAATAATTTAACCTTTTATAACCTGAATTTTGATTTTTGCTTTAATGCTAGGAACATGTGGTAGCATAGAGTTTAAGAATATAATATAATGCAGAAGAAGAGCCAAGCAAACATTAATCGAATCTTCTACGTTGCAATCGATGTAGAGACCAACATTCTATTTTAAACACATGATACGTACACTAGAAATTTACGTTTGAAGCATTTTTTTTTACGTAGCTGCTTGCTTTCGGGTCTCACATTTCTTGTTTTTCAATTTTTGGCCTCATGTCTTTTGGTGGAACAACCCGTTTCTTTGCCTCAAGAAATTCAGCCAATATTATTTCTGCTTCATAGCAAATCCGTTTTTTATACTCGGATATTAATAGTTTATGGCTCTTTTTGGTTTCTTATAAAATTGAAAAAAAGTGGTTGAAATGTAGTATTTAATTTTTATATATTAATTTTTTTAATTATTTAAACGTGAATCGGCTTTGTACTACAGAAATAAGAAAGAATATGTGTATAGTTTCAGTAACAAACTAGTTATTTAGTCTATAATCAAAAAACGTACTTTCACAGCTAATTTTGTCTTGTTTAAAGAACTCAACTTGGTACTTTTTCGTCCCCCCCTCCAATAACAGAGGAATATGCTACGACATTGAGACTGATCGTAACCAAAATGTTAGTTCGATATCTGTTTTATCTTTAAATTATTGTATACTTATTTATATTGAATAAGTTAGACACATAGACAAACCACGTCGTAGGCACCGTATTTTTCATTTAGACAAAATTTAAATGTAAATATAAAAATATGAGGCCCTTATCAATATAAAGAATATTCTAAAATCGTTTTTCAAAAATTTAATTTTAATAAACATTGTTCATACTTTTAATTGAAAAATCGATACGACAGAACCATTGGATGTCATATTATGAAATTTGGTACAACATATACAAAAATATACATAGAGACAGAATGGGACTGCAATAAAACGTGCCTAAAGTCAGCAGCTATGGATATATACTAGGTCTTAAACAAAACGAAAGTAGGAGACCCTGGATAACAAATGAGATTGTAGGATTAATAGAAGAAAGGCGGAAATACAAAAACAGGACAGACAAAAAAGGACAAAAAACATATAAGGCTATAAAGTGGGAAATAGTTAGGAAATGTAAGGCAGCTAAGGAACAGTAGATTGATAGAATGTGCAAAGAAGTAGAAGAAAAATTTTAAGTAGGTAAAACCGATGAGGCTCATAATGTGATTAAAAGGAATTTTAGAAATGTAGGGTACAGTAATAATATAAGAAACGAGGCAGGGGTCGTTTTGATTGAAAATGAGGAAAAGGCAGATAGGTGGAAAGAATATTTAGAGAACCTGTACGCAGGCCAAGAATTAGGAGATATATACAGAAGGAAGATAGTGTGGAGATAGATGAGCTATGTTATCCCATAATGAGAGTACAGTTCGAAATAGCATTAAAATCTTGAATAATAATAAGGCTCCAAAAATAGATGGCGTCCTCTGGGGTAAAGCACTCCGGACGTAAACTAGTCCCCCATTCGGATGTCCGGGCGCGGACTACCTCGGGGGATGTCATCAAGAAGTACAATAGGGATAGGTGTAATATTTCACGAGTCGGAGCGTGGAATGTTAGGACAATGAGGCAACTAGGAAAATTAGACAATATAAAAGTAGAGATGGATAGATTAGAATTAGATATATTAGGTATTAGTGAAGTCCGTTGGCCCGAAGCTGGAGACTGCTGGAGTGGGGACTTTATAGTAATACATACAGGATCGGTAGAAGGTAATTCGGGGGTAGGAATTGTAATGCGTAGGAAAGTAAGGCAGAGTGTAGAAAGTTATTTATAAAAGAGCGATAGGATAGTTATGGTTACATTAAACTCAAAGCCGGTAAGAACGGTAATAGTACAGTGACGAAGACGTAGAAGCAGTTTATGCAGATATAGAGGACGTGTGAAGTTTAGTGAAAGGACAGGAAAACATAATACTTCTAGAAGATTTCAACGCAGTAATAGGTGAAGGTAAAGTGGGTACAATAGCAGGTTCTTTTGGATTAGGCATTAGAAATGATAGGGGAGATAGGCCGATAGAATTTTGCATTAAACATAACTTAATCGTCGCGAATACTTTATTCAACCGTCACGTTAGGAGGCGCTATACGTGGAAGATGCCAGGTGATTTAGGGAGATATCAGTTACATTACATACTTGTTAGGTAAATATTTAAAAATCAAGTGAAGGACTAGTGTTATTACAACCAGTTTTTCATAAAACATAAAAAACAGAATGTCTAATAGAAAAGATTTACAGTATGAGTTTTTGATCTTAACAGTTTGGTTTCTTATTACTGACTAACTAATATTAAACGTATAGAGTAATACACAATATAATATTGTATGTGATACATTACATACATTCGTAACCTGATAAGGATATTATTCCCGCGAAATAATTTTGAGAAACAAAAACATTGTAGGTATAAACAAATGTCGCTGTCGTTGCTATCGACAAGGTTTCAACAGCTCTCGTCAACGATGAGTGCATTTGTTGTATCCATAACTCTACATTTTTCGGTAAAATAGCTTAACTTTATACTTCTCAAAGGTTTCGTCATCATGTCAGCCAACATTTCATCCGTTGGACAGTGTGTAAATTTTATAATACCCCTCTGATAAATGTTTCTGATGAAATGGTATTTTGTGTCAATGTGTTTGGTACGGCTACTAAATCTTTCATTCACGATTTGTTTTAGGCAGCTCTGATTGTCTTCGAACATAATTATTTTTATTGATTTTGATTTCCCGAAATCGTTTATTAGTTTTTTCAACCACATTGCTTCCTGAAATGCTTCTGCAAGAGTTATATACTCTGCTTCAGTGGATGTTTGATTTTCGATCGTGTTTATTTTCCGCCTAATCGGCGTCCGCGTAACCGTCATAACACCGTGTGTCATTTTCTTTTGAATTTACAAGAATCAAACATTAATGTTCTTTTTAAATAACGCTCTATTCTTTTTGCTTCATTCCAGTCTGTCTCTGTTTGGTTTATTATGCTGACTTAAGATTGTCACGGCAGCACAAATATTCGGCCTGGTATTTACCGCTAAATACAACAGCGTGCCTATCAGTTGTTGATACTTTTTATTATCCGGCAATTGTTTATTTCTTTGTATTTTTAAGTAGACCGGATCGATTGGAATAATCGAGTCCTTGGCGTCTTGTAAACTGAATTTCTTTAACATTTTTTCTATGTATAATGTTTAATTAAGTAAATAAATCCCGTCATTGTTTCTTTGAATATTGATACTTAAATAATGATTTAATAAACCTAAATTAGTCATCTCAAAAAAAATTGATAAATGTTTTGCAACGGAATCTATCAGTTCTATGTTTTTATCAACTATTAGAAAATCGTCAACATATACCACGAATAAAATTACTGTGTTGTTTACGTGTTGTATATAGGGTTATATAATTATAATATTTATACCACAGATTCCTACGGACATTTGGAACATAAAATGTTATAACACTTTTGACTTTTCAAACAAAAAATTATAAAATTATAACAGTTTTGATGCCGGCCCTGCACAATCGCAAATTAATTACAATTGCCAGCTGATCCTAGAAAAATTCGTCTTCAGTAGGTCGGAATCATCTGCTTTTTGCTGTAACGTTATTGTTATGTTTGGTATTAAGTTACGGATCAGCCGAAGAAAATGCACTCGCGTTAAGGTCCATTAGATGACAGCCAACATATTAGAAAAACTACGTACCTATCACAACGAAAATTGTGCCCCAATGCGTAAACGGAATATTGAGTACTACACAAAATCGTACAACAAAAAAAATTTTTTCGGAATAAGCCAATTGTAAATACGAACATTGCATCATTACTTATCTTCATACTGAATTGTTTTTTAACTTTACTGTTAATGTTTTATTTACGATCGATGCATATTTAATTGATTATTATTAACTGAATAATTTATTCAAAGCAGTATACAAAAGAATCT